ATAAAATGAGTTTCTGTTCAGCACTAATCACATATTTTGCCACATTTATTAATCATACCGTATCCCACCCTCATGGTTCTGATACTGCCAGATCCCAGGCAGTCTCTCCTACACACTTATGAAAAGTTTTCTGTACAACCAGCATTTTATGGCGAGATGCATTTAAAAACAATTTCACATTTTTTTCCCTTGCCATGAAGGCCACTATATAAAACCTGAAAGTTTTATCATATCAGCTGATGGGAGTTCTATCTAGCCCACAAGCTACAGCATGTATCACCAGCCTTTATAATGACCAAGATAAGAGCTTAAATGTAAAAGTAGTGGCATTACTCTGAAAACAGCCTCGGGTTCATGGAGTTAATTAAAAGTAAGTCAATAACACATTTTCAACCCTACAAGTCTCCCATATTAGACGGTTGTCCTTTTGTCTATCATTACCGACCTCACAGCAGTTTGCATTGTTCACTCATGACTGAACAATCCTGTGTGTTGTTTGTCTCTGTGCAGCCCGTATGTTATTGGAACCATGAACCAGGGAGTCTCCTCCTCTCCCAACCTTGAGCTGCACCACAACTTCAGGTTTGTATTGTGATGCTTTCAATATTACACCACTATGTATATATCTATACAATGTCTTTCATTTTGTGTTGAACAGCACGTCACACACATCACGTACGAATATTATCCATCCCTCAAAGACATAACTAGTAGTTTTATTTGCTTTGCATCAACTTACCTGTTGGATAACGAGTCTGATTTCAATTCTCTGTCACCACGTTATGTCTCACACACTGTAAACTAAAGGCTCGTTTCCACAGGGAGTGCTCTAGTTATGTCTCCTGGATAATTAGCCTCGTTAAATGGAAATTAATCTGCTGTGATGCATGTTCTGAGTGAGGATCATTTCTCTTTGGCATGTTTGACTAGCTGATGATTTGGCAAATACAATGTGATTAGAGAAAGCTCATCATGAGCCAGACGTTAATTTATTATGATTTTATTATAGTTACGTAAAATAAACCCAAAGCTCTTTATACTGATGGAAGAAATGGCATCACTTTGTCATCACATCATCTCTAAAATGCCTCGCCTTGATGAGAACTCTGCTTTAATGCTGAGCTTTTTTATGAGCTCCTCCTCTGCTTTTGTTTCACCATTGATCATCTGTCCTTTCACAGGTGGGTGCTGTGCACCAACCACACCGAGCCGGTCAAAGGTTTCCTGGGCCGATTCCTGCGGCGGAAGCTGATAGAGACAGAGATCGATAAGAACATGCGCAGCAATGACCTGATTAAGATCATTGACTGGATGCCCAAGACCTGGCATCACCTCAACAGCTTCCTGGAGGCACACAGCTCCTCAGATGTCACTATAGGTCAGTTCACACAAACACATGCACACACATTCACTCTCTAGTGTCTGCTCTGTTCAGCCAATACTGACGCCTCTGTGGTGTCTCATTGTAGCAACTGTCAGTCTGCAGAGCACACTAATGTTCATGTATATATCTGAGCAATCAAACATTTTAAAGTCAATAAATGTTGCTTGAATTTAGCCTTTTTACTGAAAACCTGCTTGCGAGTGAGAAAGGCATGAAAAATTCACCAACATTTTACCATTAATCAGAACGAGAAACTGTAAAAAAATAAAATAAAAATACACATATATATAAAAGAAAGAACTTTGTGATGATCTGTAAATATCTAATGTGTATTGTACAGTTTAATCAGGAAAAAATTGGGGGGAAAAAGGAATAGAAATGTCATATTTCATCAAAATATTGTTTTCATTTTTTTTTTTTAATACCAAATATAAACCGTTTGCATTGTTCGTGTAAAAAATTACATTAAAAACAGCCTATTTACAGCAGGATTTTTTTCAATTCTTGTCAAAAAAAAGTTAAAAAAAAAGGTTGCAAAAAAGAAATTCAACTTTTTTTTGTACTTTTTTAAATGATTATCAGCATTATAAATGGTTACAGCACAGAAGACATTCCTGAGTTCTCCCTAACTCTAGTCATGGTTGTGTTGTTTCCGTAGAGGTGCAGGATTTATTCTGCAGTGAAAAATGAGCCCACAGTGACAAAAAGAGTGACAGGAGCAAAACAGCAACCAGAAACTGCCCTGGGGTGCACAGGGTGAAATGTTCCTCTGTCTCCACTCTTGCGTGTCTGCTCCATGTCTTTGGTCTTTCCAGCTTCCATCAAGCAAACACTCATCATCTGGGCTCTTTTGTCCCCACAGGCCCTCGTCTCTTCCTGTCCTGTCCCATGGATGTAGAAGGTTCTCGGGTTTGGTTCACTGACCTGTGGAACTACTCCCTGGTGCCCTACCTGCTGGAGGCTGTCAGGGAAGGACTTCAGGTACGTCCTGGCAATACATGAATATCTGGACCACAAGATAGAAGTTACTGGTAGATTTAAAATGTATCTTCCAATCTGAATTTCCACTAACAGTCAGCTGTTTGGAAGAGATACCATTTATGTGCAGATATTAAAACATAATCTGAGTAAAGTCTTTTTAGTGTCATAAGGAAAACAAAAGGCTTTGTGTAAATTAAGCTAAAACACTTCTTATTGTTGCTTTAATTGCATCCTTATTTGGTGGCCAAATGTTCATCATTTCCTTTAGAGTATTACCATTTTATGCTCTACTACATGTCAAACTGAAATATAGTGTTTTAAACTGCATTTATGTCACAGCTTCAGTTGTTGTTACTTTTCAGGTTTAGTTTTTACATCCAGAACATACAGAATGGTCAGCTTACAAATGTCAATGCATCTCTCCACATTAAACTACACAAAAGCATATAAAACATTTGAAATAGTTGCTGGCACTTACGTACTTAAACTTGAGTTAGTCGGGCCCTTGCTCTCATTTCCATCGCGCACCGCTGTGACCGGCACAGTTAAAAAGATATGAGACGAGTAATGAAACTGATCGTCACCACGGTCTGTGATTTTTATGTCACCTCACACAACTCTTGCGTCTCACTATCTGCAAATATCATTTCAAAGTAGAAGGTGAGCTTAGAGAAAGTATACAGCACTTTGTCTTGGTGTGATTGCACATTTTTAAGGATGTAGAATTCACAAAGAACTTCATGACAAACAGAGTTGTATGAAAATAGAAACAGACACTTTGTGATCTACCATCAAAAAGCCAGTTGTTCACTATTCACTTTCTTGTGCACCTCCTCTCCTTTTTGGACATTTCCTGCAGCTGTATGGCAAAAGAGCCGCGTGGGAGGATCCGTCCAAGTGGGTGAACGACACGTATCCGTGGAACGCCGCCTTGCTGCAGCAGGAGGGCCAGGCGCTGCTCCAGCTGAGGCCGGAGGACGTGGGATACGACGGCTACAGCTCGTCCAAGGAGGGGGCCTCGTCCAAGCAAGTGTCTCAGAGTGACACAGAGGGAGACCCGCTGGTGAGTTGTGGAGAGTTTAGTTTGTTCAGAGTTATGATGTCAAAAGGGGCGACTTAGTGAGATATGAGGGCAGCTAAGATTTATTTAACATGAACTGAAAATGTAAATGGCATCCACATGTGAACACAAATCCACTGGTTTCATTCTGTAAACCTGTATATGTGTATATACAGTGTGTATGTTCAGAAACTCACTAAATTCAAGCAAAGTTTCTACAGAAGACTGTAATGAGACGGCTACTGCAATGTGAGAAATTCAATAAATGACTCTAGTAAAGTAGTAGCACACACACACACACACACACACACACACACTGGAAGATCAACTATTAAGGCAGAGAAGAAGGCAATGGGTGGAGAGTGAGAATTAATTTCCATTTGGTGGGTTATTGCAGCCCAGAAGGAATTAAAGGGTAGCCATCCAAAAACGACTGGCTTGATTTAGCAAGTGTGTGTTTGCATTTGTGCAAGTGTGTGTGTGTGTGTGTGTGTGTCCAGGCGCGACCGCTTCGAGCGCAGGTGTGCCAGGGCTCATTTTAGGAACACTTGGAGCGATGAGCCAGATGCAGCAGCACTTCTGCATTATTTAGACCATTAGTTCTGTTGCAGGGATGAAGAGTTCTGCTGTTTTATTGCAGTGATTTACCACAAGGTTTTTAAAGGGGCTTTTTAGCACATGTAAAATATAAACAGACAAGACTGGTGAGTCATTACGTTGACTTATTTTCAGTAGTGAGCAATTTTTCAGTCTTCAGAATGTGACCAGTGCATGGAGAGTTCTTTACGAGGACAGAGAAAGTACAGCCAGGAGTGCAAAGAGCAAACTCAGATCAAAACTCAGATAAACAAGCTACTCTGAGTCATGTTTATAAAATCCTGCATCACTTTTAATTTTACGGAGTCGACCCAAACCACTGTTTCTCAAACTTATTGGCCAGTGACTTCTTAAAGGAATAAGTCAACATTTTGGGAAATGTGCTTCTTCATTTTCTGTTCAGTTAGATGAGAAGATTGATGTCACTAATCTATTTGTTAAATATAGATTCAATGGCCACTTTAATAGGCACAGATGTGGATAATACAGCAATCCAAAAACAGCTGATATACATGCACTTTTACCCAGTTTATAAGTTTCACACCAGAAAAGTCTCCATCAAGCCCTTCTGTGAACGTGAAGTGAGGCTAAATCTGGGATGGTGCTATTTTATAGTCTACTTGAGGTACCTGTTGCATACAGTCGCAGTCGATCAGCATATTCGGTGCCTGCACTCTACTGCCCTTGTAGCAGAAGGCCACTGTTGCACGATTCATGTTCCTAAGTACGCAAGGGTCAACGTGACATAAATGTCATCATTCCACAAATTACTCCTCCACATGCAGCCCAATATTAGCGTCTGCACCGACAGTCATGCAACATTTCAGCTGATTACTACCAGCATGGTGGCTCTGTCGAATATATTATGAAAACAGTTCAGTGAAATGCGTTTTCTTAGCATTTGAGTTGAGAAAAAAATCCTTGGAGTTGCTGAATCTGTCTTTGTTTTAGATGGACAACAGATAATTTAACAGTGTTTTGTGGTCAGTGTGATGCCCTGTCTGTGGAAACCCAACACAGTGCTACCTGAATGCACGGCTGCTGGTGCAGATAATGAATGGGAAGCGTTGATATGATGAATCCTGTTGACATATACTGTAACACTGACCTTAAACTGTGGGCTGTAGATAGACAAGTGACAGATTAACATCAGTCGGACTCTCGGGGTCACTCAGATGCTGAAAGTGTAACGCTGGTGTCGGGCTGCAGCCAGTTAGCTTAACTTAGCTCAAACACTGGAAACAAGTAGAAACTGCTGGCCTGGTTGTAACCAAAGGTAAAGAAATCCATTTACCAACACCCCTAAAGTTCACTGAATCCAAAGTTTAAAAAATAATTGTTTGTTATTCTCTAGTTATGAGTAGGGATGCACAATATATCAACAACCACATCGGTATCGGCTGATATGAGTGTTTTTTCCCATTTATCAGTATTGGTCTGATGAACAAATTTAGCCGATGTGAAAAACCGATGGTTGTCTAACATTAGCGCCTTCGTCTCTACATTTGGTATCGCTGCTATTTCACAGATGTTTTTACTTTAATGGTGCTGGACTTGAACACTAAATATGTTTAAATATGTTTTACTTTGTTATGTAATAAAGGAGACTGTGTGGTCTAATTTGGGCTTCTTCTGAATAGTTTTCTCACAGTGCTTACTTCTACTCATTGTTCAATGTGAACAAAAATTGAATATCGATATCGGTAACATCAGTAATATCAGTTATTGGCGATATCAGAACTCTCCATATCAGTATCGGCCAGAAATTTTAATATCGTGCATCACCAGTGATCAGCTCAGCTATTTCTTGACTCAGAGGATTAACCTGCTGGAGTCACCACTGCCTTTACTTTCCTTCTAATCATTTGGAGCCCCGTCAGACTTATCTTGTTGCCCCTTGGTGAGGAGCTGATCCCCAGGTTGGGAATCTTAAAGACCCAAACTCAAGCCTTACAATATTGGGCTGCATATGTGATGAAACCTGAGCGACTTTACGCGACAGGTTGTACGTGTGTTGTGTTTCCCCTCCACCGTCTCTGTTATCTAACTGTTTGCTGTGTTGTGTTTGCAGATGAACATGCTGCTACGGCTGCAGGAGGCAGCTAACTACTCCAGCACGCAGAGCTGCGACAGCGACAGCACGAGTCACCATGACGACCAGCTGGACTCCTCGCTGGAGTCGGCGCTATGAGAGCAAGAGCCGCGCTGGCAAACACCCAGAACCCCCAGAACCCCCAGAACCTGGGAACCTTCGAACCCCCGTCGCTAGCAGACACCCCTATAGTCCACAGATGTATGCTATATGAAAAGTTCTATTATCCAAATGGTATACCCACCGTTTGAGAGAAAAGTCCTATTTTTACTTAATGATGGTGCAATATTAAACCAAATTATTTTATGTATAAAGTCGCCAACGTGGCCCTCAGTGGTCACAATGACAAACAATGACACATGTTGGATTCCTCCACTGAGATCAAATCGTGTTCCTTTTTACTGGGTGTATAACATTTTAAGGATACAACTTTTCATATACGTAGGCGGGGCGTGTCTGATAAAGGACTTTAAGTTCCTCTGAAGTTGACTTCCAAGGAGTGAATCACGTTTTGTGCTCAGCCGCGATGAGCCACAGTTCACGCCATTAATGTAACGTTGGATCTCGAAAGGAAGCCTAGAGTCTGACGTGACAAAACTGGATTTTTTTATTTAGCCAGTTATATCTTCAGATGTTTACATTCGGGGTGGGGGTGGGGGGTGGGGGGGCAGGTTCTGTTGTTTATGTCTTTCCTTGTTTACAGAGGTGCTTCTCACAGACACATACACTCATAGAAATGCACTTACACACAGGCAGCAGTAGGAGACTCTCCTTTAATCGGAGACTTTTTAAATCGGTTCAATCCCTCGTTTGAGCAACAATCCAGCCTGCCAGAGTGTCCTCGAGCAAGGCACTGTCTTGAGCAAGACCCCTACATACTGAGGGAGGCAAGTGAGAGGAGGATACTGTCAAGTTTTCAGGTGATGTCACGCCCTCTGGTGCTCACAGTGAATGTTTTACACTCACAAGTTGGACCATCAGATTGATTTCATGTTTCAGTCGTGTCTGATAGCAGCTGTTAACTGAACTGACTCCTCACAGGAGTCACGTTTAGGGCTAAAGGTTACTTTAGTTCGCCTCACTGTTTACCACTATATCACCATTTTTTGCCGTCTATACTTCTTCTGATCAGACTTGGCTCATTTAGGACATTTGTGAGGCCTTTACAGCCCGACTAGGATCACGAGATTTACAGCATTCTAACACGCTGACACTCGTCCTGCCCTCAGCTCAGTGGTCAGTTGAGCCTCATGGTGCTGGTCTCCTGAACCCTGAACCTCCTCAGTGTCAGGCACTGCCAAGCCGCTCCTCGCTGCCCCTCATTGCCAACAACAAGCACAACGAAAGCGCATTGTCTGTGTGTCATCCAGCCACACTGCTACTGTGAAGAAAACATGGAAAAGTGCCAATGTTTCCCTTTGATTCGACTGCCAAACGTGCACACCCACAGACTTTACATCACAATGCGGAGCCGACCACGGTTGTAGACTTAGATTAAGTTGTTGTCGGCCTTCACTTTTAGCTTTGAACGCGCCGCGAGAGCAGCAGGCAGCGCCCTCTGTGGCTCGTCACGGGAATAGCCACGTTTATTTTGGCTTTAAGCATCATGCAGAGCCGCACGGATTGCTGCGACAGGGAAATTCAGAAGGTGACGGGAAAGCACCAAACTGACTCGAACTAAAGTAATTATGTAGTGAGTATTCAGAGACTTCCTGGCCCCTCGTTAGACACTCTAGTCCAGCATCTGCATCCATCTGTGTCCATGAGGTACCAAAATCAAAAGTATTGCCTCTATGTACAAGTTCAGCCAAAGAGCTGAATAAGGGAACAATGATATTGGTGCTTTCTCACTGCCTTAAATGTGCAAATGTTTTTGAAGCATCCTCTGCTCCCATTGGTCAAAGTGAGAAGACGAGATGCTAATGTCGGATGATGATGATGATGATGATGATCTGCTTCCTGCTACGTCAAAGATGCTGCTTGTAGTTGGAAAAACAGCCACTTTTGTTTGCCGTCCCTCCTTCCCTCTTTCTCCAAACCACCCTTTCTTCTTTCTGACAGTTAAGAGTATAACAGAGTTGATGCTGTATTTGAATTTAAAACTGACCAATATTGTACAAAACAAAAGAGAAAAAAAGAAGCAGTTTAAAAACTCGGGGGTGGGGTATTTTTTAGTTGTCGTTTTGCGCCCAGTTGAGCTGGGCTCACTTGAACTGACAGGAGCACAACCAAACTGTTTAGGGTTTTCTAGCCTGATGAGCATGTTTTGAAGCTTTTTAAAGGGGATGCATTAAGAAGCGACCTTTACCTTTATGTATGCGTGTATTGGACGGAAGCCATTTTGAATTTTGATTGTCCTCTCTTTGTTTAACGAGTGGGTTGGTTTTGCACACTTTGAGGTCGGGGTGGGTTGTAAATACTTAAGTCTTGCACAGTGAATCAAAGATGCATTCTGCCCTGTTGATGTTACAATATGCTTAACCCGCTGAGTAAATTATTGTACTTTGAAAACAGAGAGAAAAAAGAAAATAACTAATGCAAAAACTCTACACGCTGTCAGAAACAGGTGTGCGTCTTGTGGTGATTGGATGTTTTGCCTATGCAGGAGGCATACGGTGTACAGTAAGAAACAGTTTTTTAACTCACTAAAATCACAACCTGAGAAAAAAAAAGATTAAAGAATAAAGAGGCACTTCTCCAGTATTCCTCATCCTGCCATGATATTCTCTGGACCCTCTCCGTCTTTAGGAATGCCCGTTGTTCCTTAGAAGCACCTCCTCTCTGGACGTCCCGACCCCCCCGAGCTTACCGCCACGTTAGGCTCGCTCGCTGTCCGAGGCACTGAAGCTGACCTGACACCGTACTGTATACACTTACCAACAAAACCTACAGGTGCTACTGGTCAATTCAAACCCATCAGAGACCAAGAAGTCATGTTGTCACAACCTCAGGACAATCTTCTCCTCTACAATCCTACCTGTGTTCAGCTTCACTCGTGTCTCAGCGGCGCAGCCTCTGATGGTTCGTACAGATTTTTTCGGCCACCTCGTGTCTGCAAGGGTGTGTAGTTGCATGCTAAGGGGGTAGTTACCATGGTTACAGGTTGCTCCTCACCTAGACCCATGTATCAAACCTATCTACACTCCTGTTGTAGGCCATTAGTTCCCGAGCTAGCAGAGCTTCGACACCGTTAACAGTGTACACCATAGTGTTGATGATCAACTGGTAATTTTTCCCACTTACACTTTGCAGTTACATCTCAGTTGAAAACCATAGCATTTACTCTGGTTTGAGAGAAAGTTTTTTTCTTCTTTTTGGGTGAAACATTTGTCCTTAAATGTTTTATATTTTGTACATTTGTATGTAACATATCATGTAAATAGACAGAGACAGTGATTTAACTCATCTGGAGGATTTTGTAGTCTTTGTAAAGCCCTAATAAATGGTATTTGGTGTCACACAAGCAAACAATTTGTTGAGTTTTGTCTTTTGTGTCGAGCTTGTTGTGTGTTGGGAGTTACAAATGCAGGCATAAGAGGCAGGTAGAGTAGACAGAAGCTGTAATGTAAGCATCAGTTAGGGGATCTATTGCAAAAAAAACACTTGAAGATGAATAATTTTATGGATAAAATATTTAAAATGAAGTTCTTTACATCCCGTAGCTCTAATTAAACGGGGCACAGAATATACTGAGCACACATGAGAGATGGTCCCAAGTGATGGTGATTCAACCAAAGAGTGTTACATGTATGAAATTCTCTCTGTTATGCCAATAGTGAAACTATGTGTGGGTGATACCATCTGATCCTTAAGTCTCTGGAGACTTGAAACGATGCAAATGTTAGCTCTGAATCCCAAAACCCAAGTCAGCTTTCCAACAGCTCTTGAACTAATCATGTGTGATGTATGAAGGGAAAAAAATGAATCTTAGCTTAAAACCAGGGGCCTCATTTATCATCAGTGCGTAGAAACGGTTCTAAATTCTGTTTCACAAATTAAATTTAGAATGTTGGTTAAAAAAAAGAAATCAGTATTTATCAAATGTGTTCGTGGGTCGTACACACATCAGTAAGTCATCAGTGCTGATAAAGCCCACTTGTTCTTAATCACCGTGCTCGTTGCCTTCAGAAACGCCTCCAGCTAACCATATAGGGCAACAACCCCCTCACCTTTCATCATCAAGGCAAAGAGGGCGAAAAAGAGGAACTTTTCAAAAACTGAAATTGAAGTACTTGTCAGCGAGGTTGAAGCAAACCAGAAACAATTGTTCTGTGTGTGAAATGTTGGGATAAGCAGTGGAAAATAGAAAAAAACTATATGGGACAAGATGACCACCAGCGTAATTTCTGTTCGGTCAGAGGAGAGATCGCTAGCAGAAATAAAAAATAATAATAATTAAAAAGTGGTGTGATGTTGTACTCCGTGCCAAAAAATGCATCACAGCCCATAAAAGAGAAATGACTGCAACTGGAGGACGACGAATTAATACCCAACATTGACCCAGCAGATGACCCTGATCACTACAGATGAGATGTGTTTGAATAACCACACTACAAGTCTAATTCAGTAATAAGTAAGCCATTTGCACCTGATCCTGTAAAAGAAAACAACTAATTCCTGCACTCTGAGAAACTGAGAAGACTAGAATGACTCTGCTGCAAAAAGGAGTCAAAAACAAATGTATTTTTGTTTGAGCTGCAGGCTGAGCTGAGAAAAGATGACAAGAAAGATTGAGAGGAAAATAAAAACAAAAACAGTTGATCAAGAAAATAAACGCAGCGTGGCTCAATAACAGTATACAGAGGAGCAGGTTGTCAGCAGGCTGTTAGAAGATACATCCAGCATGGTGAAATGTCTTTCTAGAGCTGATGCAGAGTATGTTTGTTGAGTAAATAATCAATGAAATGTCACTTTTGTTTTCTCTTTTTTATGATTTATGGCATTTTATCTTTTCAAACTACACAAAACACACTTTTGAGTTCAATCTAAATCTATGACGATGCTGTTTTTAGAAAGGTGCACGATTTTATATTGTTGTGAAAAGGAGCCCACAGTGAATGAAAAAGGAAAAGAAGCAACAACAACAACAAAAAACACCCAGCAAATGCTTTGAAGGGTCAAAATAAGTTGACAACCGACCGGAATATCTTAATTATCTGGAGAAAAAAAGAACCCAAGCATTGGCATATTGGCATGTAGCATCTTAAATGTGAGTTTGTTTTTGCCCTTTTTCTAAAACATGAATACAGAGAGCATGCCAGTCTCGTCAGTAGTCAGATAAGACAACTAATCCACAGAGGCAATAAGGTTTTGGTGATATCTTTCTGACACTTAGTGTATATGGTATAATTACTCAAAGATTAGTCTGCATTGTATCAGAGAATAGAAGAGTAGATAAAGGTGCATGTTAGTTTAAAAAAAAAACATTGAAGGCTCATTGCAAAGAAAAGAAACCTGCTTTCAAATTAACCTTGAATCTTTTGAAGAACTATTTGATATGTTGTTTGTTAAGATCACCCACACAGGACACTTTAAAACTCAGCTGGGAGAAGGAGAGGAGGGAAACATAAAGCTTTGAACACACAAAGCAACTTCAGGTGGATCAATTCAACACCTGTCCAACTATAAAGAGTTTAAGAAATAAAGTGGAAGTATGATTTACTGTTCCAGAGTTCAGTTCTAAAGTAGAGAAAGGTTTCAGAGAAGAGACAAGAACATTTAAAAAAAAAAAAGATTTGTTCAAATTCAAGCATCAGTTTGCAGAACAATCAGTCAGATAGTTGATCCTGATAGAAGTTTACCAAACAGGATTCAAATGATGAGTCATACAGTAGGACAGAAATAAAGAGAATCATTAAGACTGAAGGAAAGAAAGAAAAGCAAAGGATGGTGCTTTTATAGAGGTCAGAGGAAAGTGGGAGAAACTAAGTATGCACTAAAATATATAGAGAGAGATTTTTTTTGGACAAACTTAAATGAATCGTTTCAGTTGGTAACACGCAAAATATATGAAGTTGATCCAAATTCAGTAAAATTAATGTCACATACTTTAATCTTTTGATTCCACTCATGATGCAACTTCATTTTAAGTGGAGAAAATTTGAAGTTTCCAATTCTTCCGCCTCCAATACTTACTTTACTCCAAAATAAAATATTGATTTTGTCATCAGAGCTACTATTATTCTGAATAAAACTACGGTTGAGTTGTGGCACAAAAATATGAAAAAAAGCGTCAGACACACAATGCTCGACATGTAGTGAAACTTCATTTCCACACTTTTGCTGAAATCCGAATTCCATTTTAAAGAGGCAAAATGTAATTTCAAGTTGATAGAATCCACAAAAGTAAACCGCCTTCACCAAAGCAGAAAGATAAGAGAGATTTATTCTGCTTCAGCAGCTCAGGCATGAAGAGGAGAGATAAGATAATAGATATGGACACACTGGATTGAACAGCAAACTTTTCAGAACAGATAACATCATACAGACAGATGTGGATGAAATTTCAGGCAGAAAGAAGGAAGTTGATTCAGAAAGACAAAAACAAAATTGGATCATTTAGACATTCTACATAATAACTCAAAAAGTAAGTGTTATAAAAAAATACACAATTCACAATCTTAGACTAATTAATTTCATGAAGAGTATATGAGAGTTTTCTTTCTTTTCTTTCTTTCTTTTCTTTTTTTAATGAAAATTGTAAATACGAGTCATTCTGAATCGCACTCTACCAGTTGGTGGCGGTAGTGAAGCAGTTGAAGCTGCCAACAAAAGAGAAGAAGAAGAAGACGCAGCAGCGCAGCCGCAATAACAGCAGCAGAAGAAGAAGAAGCCACTGGCAGCTGCGGCCTCAGCAGAAATGGGCGCCGGTGCGACTCCCGTGACTGAGTTCGAAGAAGACCTGAAGAAGCCTAAAGGAGCTTCGGTGTCGTTACCGAAACACTCCTACTGGTTTGACTTCTGGGTCTTCGTGCTCTTCGACATCGCCTTCTTCCTCGTCATGTACTTCGTGGTGCCGTAAGCAGGTGAGAGAGAAGTTTCTGGATAACGGAGGGCGGCTACGGAAGCTGTCAGAGGGGCTGGAGGGGCTGGAGGGGCCGGCTCTGGCTCTGGCTCTGGCTCTGGCTCTGGCTCTGGCTCTGGCTCTGGCTCTGGCTCTGGCTCTGGCTCTGGCTCTGGCTCTGGGAGTTGTGTTGATAGAGCAGTGTTTGAGATAAGTTTCTGAAAGCCTTCCGTTTGAATACATTAAGTACACAAGCTAACTAACCGCCGCTGCTGCTTTTCCTTGGTGCTGCCTGTTCAAATATTTGATGAGGTCGCAGGTTACAGCGCAGATATGCTGTTTGTGAAGACGGAGTTCAGCCAAACCCAGTGTCTCAGGTCATGGTGTCTAATACTGAGCTGATAACTTCATAGTGTCTGCTTTAAGACCTTCTCCAGGGAAACTGCAGTTGTTTTTTTACCTTGTTGACATGTCCACAGGGTGCCAGAATATCATGAGTGGAATAGCTGCAGTGAACTGATGACGGTCTTATAAACAGGTTCAGACTTGCAGGGTTTCATATGTCACAAACCAAAGGAGCCAATCAGCTGCTAGGGTGAAGCTTCTGTAGCATACAGACCAATTCATACTGTCTTCATCCACTTCTGAAAGAGTGAGTGATCACCCTGGTCTGAGGATCTGTACGGACCTGTCAGCAGACATCCATATGAAGCCCCAAATCTTTAACTATGTCGACCGCTCAGTCCTCACCAGGGTCACGGGGGGCTGGAGTCTATCCCAGCTGACTCAGGGTGAAGGCAGGTTCACCTGGACAGGTAACCAGTCTATCACAGGGCTACACTTAGAGACAGACAACCAAGAACACTCACATTCACACCTACAGACAATTTAGAATCACCAATTAACCTCAGCATGTTTTTGGATTGTGGGAGGAAGCCGGAGAACCCAGAGAGAACCCACACTGCACAGGGAGAACATGGAGACTCCACGCAGAAAGATCTCAGGCGTCCAAACGGGGACACGAACTGGGGATCTTCTAGCTGTGAGGCGACGGTGCTAACCATCGAGCCACCTTGTAGCACTAAAACAAACAGGGCTTAAAATAAATGCTTGAGCCTGTATGAGAAGATCCTCCCTTGTCCACGCCTCTATAATGCATCATTTAAAGAACTGTAATTGAAGTCGTTGCTGCCAGACTGTGAAGACGCTTGTTTTCCATTAACACAGTTAAAAGTCTTCACTTCTCCAGAAGTCCTGTGCTATGTCCACTGTACTTGGCACCCTGCAGGAATAGTCTGACTGACTTGGTGCTACAGCCCAAACTTTAACTAGCTTGTAACAAAGTGCAGCGTCACAGGCAGAGAAACATCCACAGGAGCCCTGTGTGCTTCTGCCCATGTTTAATATGAGGGTCAATGCAGGCAGACCATGTACCTTTTGTAATATGAATACAAAGGCATCCGCTGTCCACTTCGACAGTCTACACAGTCTGTGCTCGTGGACGTGGAGGCATGAATCGGCCCTTATTCTTCAGTGAGTTTCCAGTTTAAACATGTATGACAGAATTACTCAATGTTTAACTTTGTCAGTGTCGAGTCAGTTTAAGCCCTGAATGTCCTCCTGTACAGACATGTTTGCAAACAGCTGTGGACGTATATGTAGTTATTGCTCTTATACTACGTTCTAGTCAGCAGCAGAGGACTCTGTTGCACACATGCACTGTAAGTCATGGCACAAGTACTGCTCATGAAGTAGGTCAACTCCTTTATTAGACTGCTTCTTATGCACGACTAACAGTCAATAACAGAAACGTATTCAGATTACTGTCATATCAAGGCAAAGAAAATTATCAAACCTTCACATCTGAGATGAACCAAGCACCTTTTTGTTATTTTTAAATGAAAAATGGCCCAAAATATTAGAGCTACAACAACAAATCAGTTATTTACCAACTGCTGAATTAATTTGCAACTATTTGACGATCTATTGATCTGTTTTGATCAATGTTTTATTTAAAAAGTCTCTATTCTCTTATCTATATCTTCTTAGATGTGAATATTTTCTGTTTCTTTCCTCCTTGATGGCAGTGAACTGAATATATTTCGGGATGTGGACAAAACAAGACATCTGAGGATGTCATCTTAGGCTTTGGGAAACACTGATTGACTTTTGTTTCTGACATTTTATAGACCCAACAGTCAATTGAATAATTAAGAAATCATTGACAGATGTATTGGTCGTGGAAATAATTGTTGTTTGCAGCCCTCATTCATATACTTGGCACTTAGTTCCTCTGAGTGATTTATGAAGTAAATTATTTGTATTCATTTGTATTAATATTTGATCTTCGTCTGGTGTTTCAGATGCACTTCTCAAAGTATTTTCTGTTCCTTGTTTGCTTTCTGTTTTTAAAGTACTTGTCTTTGTTGAAGGTTGTCTCTTGGACTTTGGAGCATGAAGACATGAAGCGCTGGTCCTGGCCTACTGTATGAAATCTAACCCAGCTTTGACTGAATCTAACACCACGTTACTGAATGTCTCATCTCAAGTATCCACGGCTTGGACCAAACAAGTTCATGGCATTCTGCCCTAATATCAAAGATCTGAACCACAGACCTGCCTCCCACTGGGACCTGCAGCTCGTCACACAAGACTGTCTTTCTGCATGGATGGATTCTTGAGGAAGAACAAAAGTCTGAAGTATTTGTACTGTTGGAAAGTTTCAATGGCGTCAACAGGATTTCTGAAATGTAGCGAATGTAAAATCACAAAGGCGCTGTTGTAAGTGAATGTTACCCAGACCTGATCTGCTTCGTCTTTTTGATAAGCAGTCACTGATAATTTTTAACTATATTGCTTTTATTTTAAATGTTTTAGCTTTATCTCCAATTCTCCTGTTGACCTGATCAGCAGCCAAACACTGGAGAGTCTCACGTCTGGAAATGTGTGTTTTTAATAAGCTGTCTGATGAGTTGGTTGTGGGACCAGTGAAGACACATAACATTCATGATTGTACTTGCACAACATAAAGAACAACGCGTGGCTGTGAAGCAGTTCCAGCACACTGGAGTCAGTTTGCACATGGAGCAAATAAAGTGTTTTGACTAAATGCTGAGTGTTGACCTTTTTATTTACGTTTGCCCTTGGGTTGTAGTAGGCAGGTTTATTTATCCAGCACCTTCTCATACACAGAGGTTATTCCAAGTGTTTTACAGGCAAAGGTTAAAATAAAATAAAACCTGTAAAAGCTAAGATACAGCAGAGTAAAAATAAATTAAATCCAAAAGCATACTGACAGCCGAAAAAGAAGATAGGAAAAATAAAAATACATGTACAATAAAATAGAGATCTAGCAATGAGAGTAAAGTGTTCTCTCTTCTTGGTGTTCGTTGTTATTCCAGCTGCAGTATTTTGAATGAGCTGCAAATGTCACCTGGTCTAAACAGGAAGGCCAGTGGGAGAGTTCATTACATTAGGTTTTCATAATAAAGTTTTTCTCATTCTGATTTTACAGTGAATAAAATGTTGAATTGCTTTGGCACAAAGTTTCTTGAGTTGTTTTTATGACGGCAGAGTGAGTAAATGTAGCTCCTTGTCAATGATTACAGGGAGATTCTGGACCTAAATGTTAGTTTTTAGTGCCATGGACTTAAGATAAACGCTGAGCACCAGCCTTCATTCTTTATTGCCAAAAGGAACGATTATAGTCTTAAAGTCTTAATTCAGGTGAAGGAAGTGCTGGTGTGCTCACATTTACACATCACAACTTTTATGAAATACAACCTAAGTAAATGCAATATTATTCTTACATAATTATAGAATGATTTAATGTCTTGTCATGATAAGACACAACTAACAACCTGTGACGTTCATGAGAATTTGAACATTTCAGAGCACAGTCTGCTGTGTTGTTCTCCTTTGGATCAGCTAATAACTACCTACTTGAAAGACTCTATTCTTTAATCACTCATATTCTCTTTTAGTTTTTGTGTATGAGCAGAAATTTTAGTTTTTACAACTTGATGCTTTTATTTTGAAAACAAGATCACGTGTGTCGCTTTGCTCGGCAGCTAACAGTAAATGGCTAAACAGTTGTAGTTTGTTAGTGGCTGTTAAAAGTGACCCTTTACAGTCTCCGTCATGGAAAGCAGCCGTCCTCTGGAGAACACAGGTCCGTGTTACCGAGTGTTTAAGTGTTTAGTCGCAGCTAACAGCGAACAGGCTCTCTGACTTAGCTTAGCGTCGTTAGCTCGTAGCCGCAGCTAACAGCTGTGATTGTAGCTAGCTAATGTTAACAACAAAACATGTTGTAGCTACAGGCTACGTTTACTGTGTATGGGCACTGTAGCACTGCAGTACTGTTTAAGATAAAATGTCCTTTGTGTCATTCTAGCAACCTCTACACCAGACTATTTAATCCACATTTCCCAGTGTTTGGCTGCTGCTGCTAACTTATTTTGGCTACATTAGCTCCAGAGCCAGTTGGGGATGTTTTGATGCGGACACATGCTGAGTGAAAGCGGGTTTGTGGCTGAAGTAGTTTATCTTTGGCCTTTACAAGATTCAAACAACACGAGATAGTAGTAACTGATAATACAAAAGAAACTGTCATGTGCTAGGAGCCTGCATTAAGCTTTCATGTTTGTTTTTATGCTAAAATCTGTGAAGGTGTGTTTGGTTCAATTTATTATGTGAAATTAAAATGAGAGGTTTTACAGACCAGTGGCTGCTCCTGAATCTGAAAACCCTCTATGAATATCTTTATTTACACACATAGATAGATAGATAGATAGATAGATAGATAGATAGATAAAACAATTCTGACATAACATTGCATAACTTAATCTTTTTGATATTTCACTTAAATTCAACTACAAAGTAAAATGACCATTATTTGCGGCTCTTTCTGTGGAGACCCATGTAACAACAAACTACACATATTAAAGGCAGAACAGAGGAAGAACCACTAATAACAGTTAAGACAAGTTAGGACAACCGTTCATTTTGCATCAGGAGTATTCTGCCACTAAAGGTTAAGGATAGAACTGATTGATGACAAATTCTTGGACATGAGAATCACCACATTTGAGTAAAATGTCTCTAACGGGCTACATTACACTTTTTAAAACTCAGTTAAACCTGAGCACTGTATCCACCGAGGTCTAAACGACAAGACTAGAGATTATGATGCGCTGAATGTTCTGACCGTACACAACACAAACACATGAAGCAGTAATGGGACATGGTGAACGTATGCTGGAGATGGCAACAGGTGGTACTCTTAACTTGACTTTGACACACTGAAGGTGGTGAAGTTTCCACTGGATGTTTGATTTGTTTTGCTGATAAAGCACTGAGGGTTAATGAGTGAAAGAAGACAACATTTGCAAAAAATGTGCACAACAAAGGAGCAGCCACTTATACGTTGTTAATGTGCCCGTATTGGAACAGAACAGTTATTTTATTTCAAATCAAAAGTGCAATTTTAAACATAGCAAATTGTAAAGGCTGTAATTTAGGAGGTAGTTATGAAGTGAGCCAGAGTTTAAACTCACTAGTTAATGGATTTACAGCATCCAAGTCTTCCTCCATGTGGGACAGTCACACTGCTGGAGGTGTCTCAGGGTGTTGTTCCATCATGTTTTATATTATGACACAATGAATACTGAACTGAGAAAGGACTTTATATATATATGTGTGTGTGTGTGTGTGTGTGTGTGTGTGTGTGTGTGTATGTGTGTGTGTGTGTATGTGTGTGTGTGTGTATCAAATCTCATTATCTGTCAGAAAAATCCTAATCAGCTCATTTCTCTAAATTTACTTCATATGGTGTTTTTTATATGCTGGAAAACATGAGTGTCAGTGCACCATGGCTGAGTATTTTCACCTTGATATTACTGTGTGTACTGATGACAGTCTCAGAAAGACAGATTCAGACTGCCGGGGTTTCACATGTAACAAACCACCTTACTGAACCACTCCTGTTCTCGTGCAGGGTGGGGCTTTCTGTGTCATTATTTTTCACTAGAAGTGGTTTCCAGTTCAAACAGAAGTGGGTGTTGTACTCCGATATTACAACATGCCATTGTGTAACATAAAGTAGTTGTAGAGCGTCTGAGCAGAGTCATAGGTGAGCTGCTGTTTCTGTGCATAGACTGTATATACAAGATGATTATGGCCTCAGGGTCTGAAAAGTGAAGACAGAAGTGAGTCAAACATGCATTCATTCTAACAGCCACCAGGGGGCGATGCTTCTGGTTGCAAAAAGAAGTTTGATTTGTACAGAAGTCTATAAGAAAATAATCCTAATCCTCACATGATTGGTTACCCCAGTAAACATCAGTTTATGGTGACAGTCACTAGCTTCAGGTCTCCTTTAATACAGCATGATGTTCATTTA